TCTATGGTAACTCCTTCATAGTTCAGGAACTATCTTACACGTCTTTGGTTCTGCAAAAGCCATAAAGTTCTCACTACATAAGGTACGTTGGGGTAAGATCGGTGATGGGGCAAGACCGTAGGATTCAGATTCCCGGCGAATTATGCTATATTTTGAAAAGCTAACAATATGCTACACGACGCCATTTCATCCTGCCCCGACCCTCAGTTCGCGCCAGTCACTCCGGCAAGTGGGACCTGTGCTGCGCGGCATTTTATAAAACAATGTTATTTTTGTATTATTTTTGTCCATCCGATCTTTCCCTATCACTTTTATTTACGATTTTTAGCGAGAATATGGCTTCTTTTGTTATTATTTTGTGTGAATACTAATTTTTATGAAGTTATAGCTAAATAAAGCTGGTCTATGCAGGGCTAAGATCGCTGTAGGCCGAGATCCGATGTTTCCCCTCGTGAGTGAAGATCGGATGAATATTATCCGATCTTTGCCTGTTACAAATATGGCAGTGGTTGTTAAACTTTCATTGGTCGTGTATATTTTTTCGTTGATTACTCAAGTGACTATGGGACTCAGTCTTGTTAGCAAGTCTGTATATTTAAAAGTAATAAAACAATACGATGGTTTTATTACTTTTAAGTACATATTAAAATAATTTTTTTTTTTTTTAGGATAAGGGTGACAAAGGAGCACACAGTCCACCTGATGTTAAGTGATTGGTGCGGCCCATAGACATCTATCCTCTATTACAAATCAAAATGTAATTTATAATAATTATTTAAAAAATAATTTATAATAATAAATTCCGCTTTGTTAAAATATTTATATCTTCCTTAACTCCTGCATTATCCCAGGGCATTTCGCCAGTTCTTACTGTTATTTTTTTTCCCCATATAAAATCAAATGCATCCGATCTTTTTCCTATATTGAGTAATTCCATCTTATGTCATAACAAAGTTTGAGAAACATAAAATTACAATTTCTTTATATCAGGGATAAGATCAGATGGCAAGAAACAAAAAAAGAAAAAATCTTTTGGAACATTTATGTTTCTAGTAATTTATAGATCATATTGAAATATGTTTTTGAGCGTTAAAGATAGGACAAATCTCTTTTATAAACTTTTTTCTCTAAGCAGTAGAAGTGGTTTTAAATTTAAGTCCGGTCTTACCCCTTAATGGCCAATTTTTCATTATGCATATAAAAAAGTATGTCTAGTTTTCGCACACCTTTAAAACAGAAACCGTTGAGTTTACACAAGCAAAAGATTCTCAGAGCTAAACTACGTTTAACGATTAACGGTTTGCTCCATGTTCCATAAATCTGACGTATACGAATGTCGAGAAATTAAAGTTTTTGGCAGACTCTTCCAACTATTCGAAAATCCGTCCGGTATTACCCCAACGTACCTTATATCTTTATATATAAAAATTACGTGTCACGTTGTTTGTCCGCGATGAACTCCTAAACTACTGAACTGATTTCAATGAAATTTGCACACTCTGTGCAGTTTGCTCCAACTTGAGAGATAGGATAGTTTTTATCCTGATAAGTGACACTCAATTTTTTTATTGCTAAAAATTTTTAGGAAAGCAAATGGGCGTCGGAAAGGGTAGAACAACGTCTGCCTGGTCAGCTAGTATGTATATATTTATATTATGCTCATGAGGTCCTGGGTTCAAATCACGGATCGGGAGAAATTCAGTTAGTGGTTTTTTCTGCTCTCATACACTCCGTAGGTACCTAACCATATTTAAAAGTTTTGGCTGTCTGCCTGTCTGTCTAGACTAATTGCGATTAAACTTTACAAACAGATAGACAACGATACCAAGAGGAATAAATTTTATCAGAAAAACTTAAAGATTTTTTTTTTTAAATTGATTGGATATAAATGGTTTTCGATGAACTTAAATCTACATAACACCACATGAATCCTACCCTGGCAAAGCCAAAGTAGCTAACAAAGGATTTGATTTTATTCAATTTGATTTAATTACCGTGTAGTGACGGTGTAAGAATATCCACTACCCCATATCATCCCGTGGGTGTCGTAAGAGGCGACAGAGGGAAACAAATCAGGAGATGTTTTCATTCGATATTCGAACGCGCACATCGTGTTTTGTATTTTTTACTCGAAGCGTGTTTCAATTTAGCTTAAGTAAAGTTAAACCGTTTGGTCGATGGATATAACAGACTGTAATATGCCCTGGGCGTATTGATTCGATGTCTAGCGCATATTTTTTTTTATTTTTATTAAGTCACAGTTCATCTGCTGTTGTTTCTTTTACAGCACCTTTTATACGTTTTTTAAATTATTTTACTTTAAACATTTTATCCTGTTTTTTTTTTTCCTATTTTTTTTTTGAATAATTTATTATTAACACTTATATTTTTAAAACTTATTACTAATTAGCATGTATTCCGCTACTCTTTTTCATGTTTTACGCTAATTACATTATCTGTTTGAAGCTAATTACATTAACTACTTCATTTTCTTATCTTTTATTATTTACAATGACCCTGTTATGTCTGTTAGTATAATATCCTTCCAATCAACTATTTTTACTGTACAATTACATTGACATAACTTTACATATTTTCTGTATCTTGATGTGAGTATTTTTTTTTCTTATTTTTTTTCCCTTATTATTTGTTAATAATAGTATAGAAAACATTTTTTTACACATGCTTTTGCACATATTATAATATAGTTACTTACTACGTGTTTCGCTATTAAATTAATATTTTACTCTAAGTACATACATAGTCTGTTTTAATCTACTTCCATTAAACTAATTCATTTCTTTTTCTTCTACTATTTAAAACAATCCTTTTATTTCTACTAGTATTATTACGTTACTTTGTTCATTTATTACTTTGTGGTTCTAAATGTGAGTATAAAAGTTTTATTATTACTATTTCTCATATTATTATTATCAATATTTGTTATTTGTGTTTTGAATTATTCTCTTTGAGAATAATTTCAGTGCTTAGTTTTGCGAATTTTAGAAAGTGAAATCGACTGTCATTGCTGTTAATAGCTTTACATAAGGTTTCCTCTTTTAGCGCAAAGCCCATACTTTGCTCGCATGAAAGTCTTGCATAAGCGAATTTCGGACAGTCTAAAAGGATATGCTCTATTGTTTGCGATGTTTGATTATCACAGCTACAGTAGGGGCTTTGTGACAACTTAAATCTAAACAGGTATGATTTAAAGCCTCCGTGACCTGTCAGAATTTGTGAAATGAAATTGTTCATTTTTACTTTACACGTAGTTTTATATGCTTCTTTTATACAAGGAAAGAATTTTCTTGTCGTAGACCCTTTTTTTTTTTTTTTTTTGCGGATGGAAAATCATCAAATGACGCCTTTCGCTCTGGGTGGAGCGGAAGGGAGTGTCAGACTTTTACTGACTAAAAACCATCCGTGTTCCTTCAGTGCCCTTACGTTCCGGAGCCGCGGTATCTCTTTCGAACAGCCCGCAGCCCCGGCAGGCGTCGGCCCTTGCGGGCCCCTTCACGCTGCTGACAGCTCTTTGAGGCGCGCGTGGAACAAAACGCGCCGTCGACACGGCCTGTCGTCGTTAGACGGACGGACGGCGAGCTACCCATTGCTCGCCGTCCACAGGCCCGCGCCTACGGTGGCCGGGGGCCACGACGTAGCCCCCGACGCCCGGGGCGTCTCCCGCGGCGGCCGGGAAGGAAAGCTGCTGCTCTCTCCTTCTCCTGCTCCGCCACCTCCTTCGCTAGCATCACTGCTTCGCAGAAGGTGGTGACGGCATCCCATTCCGTCTCGCTCCGGACCATGGCTTCGACCAGGGCCGGACGCGAGAGGTCGCCGCCGCCTATCGCCGCTACGAGGACACGGCGGTGCTCCGCCCAGGCAGGGCACACCTCCACGGTGTGCTCCACCGTGTCCTCCGGTCGATCCTCGCAGTGGGAGCACCCAGGCGTTTGCTCCCGCCCGATTCGGTGCAGGAACCTCCCGAACACACCGTGTCCGGTAAGGACCTGCGTCAGGCGGAAGGTGAGGACGCCGTGGCGTCTCTCAAGCCACTCCTCAAAGAGGGGTCTTATCGCCGCTATAGTGGCGTGCCCAGCACGGGGTTGCGACAGTCGCTCTCTCCATGTCGCCATGAGATCATGCCGGAAGTCTGTCCGCTGCACGACAACTTGCCGTGGCAGCGGGGTTTCCCCCCGGCATAGTGCCTCCGCGCGCCATTCGTGTAGGCGCGCGAGGACTATCGCCTCCAGATCCCATGGTGGCAATCCGGCAAGGAGGCACGCTGCCTCGCGGGAGATCGTGCGGTAGCCGCGAACCATTCTTACGGCGACCACCTTTTGGGGCGCGTTCAGGTGGTGGACGGCAAGCCGCGCCAAACCACGCGCCCACACCGGGGCCCCGTAAAGGGCCATGGACCGCACAATCCCCGCGTAGAGCCTCCGGCAGGAGGCGTTTGGCCCCCCCAGGTTCGGCAGGAGCCGCCTGAAGGCAGCCCCGGTCCGTTCCAGTTTGGGAGCCAAACGTCGGAAGTGCTCAACGAAGTTCCATCGGCCGTCGAGGACGAGTCCTAGGTACTTCAACGTCGACTCGACGCCGATGGATACCCCTCCTACCATCGCTGAGGATCCCGGTGGTGGCCTGTTCCGAGGACCATGGAAGTGCATGGCCTCGGACTTGTGCAGAGCCACCTCAAGACCCAGCTGCCGGATCCTCTCAACGACTATCGCAACCCCGCGTGTCATATTTTCCGCCGCCGCCTCGTACGACCCCCCCTGTGCCAGTACCAGCGTGTCGTCAGCATAGCAAACTACGCTGACGCCGGTTGTCGTAGACCCTGTGTTGGATGTGCTGTACCTTTCTTGCCCTTTGAGTTGTCCCTGATTTGACGCTTTGCAAAGGACAGTGGGAAACAGTCGTAAGTTGGCGCTTGCTTAGACGTCTGCGCTGCTAATTTCGCCAATTCGTCAGCTCTTTCATTCCCTGGGATTCCACAATGAGCTTTAATCCAGAAGAACTTCACCTTGGTTGTTACGTATTTCCTCTATATCTTCTAGAATTTCAGCTACCAGAGGATTAAGAGTGCTAGGATTTGAAAGGCTTTCCAGGGCCGCCCGAGAGTCACTCAGTATATTAGACTTACTAAATCCCCGTTTGCTTTTTATGATACTGAGTGCCTTCAATATTGCAACTAGTTCCGCCTGGAAAACGCTGCAGTGATTACCTAATTTTATTTTTACCTTGTGGGTTTCCCTTCCATTTTCCCAGCAGCTTACAGCGACCCCAACTTTTCCTGCGATTTTACTACCGTCAGTATAGATAGCAGGCCAGTTGTTTTCTATCATTTCAACATCCTTTTCTGTACAAATGTCATTGTAAGTCTCTGGGACACGGAACTCTGGATGTGGAAGGTTAATAGGACTTATTGGTATGGCAAGTTTCCTCCCTGGTAGTTGCTCAATGGACTTTCCTCTTTTTATTTCGTATATGTCTAGTTGTTCTTGAGCTCTTAAGTCTAGTGGTATAATTCTTGCTAAGGCGGCACAGGAAGTTAGCGAAGATGTTCGATGAGCTTTACAAATCATAATATAGAATACTCTCGTTATAGTATCAAGACGTTTGCGTATCTGTATTCTTGATGCTTTGTTTCCCCAGCAAGCTGCCGCATATAACATTGTAGGCTCTACGACAGTGATGTAAATAGTCCTAAGAATTTCCGAGTTGAGTCCCCATTGAGCTCTTGCTGTTTTTGAAACCTTTTTGTATAGCGCAATAGCTTTTTCTGTGGTGTCTTGTACATGTTTTACAAAATTTAAATTTCTGTCGATGTTCAAACCGAGAATTTTCAGGTTTTCAATGAGTACTATATTGGTATCACTGAGCTTTAAGTTAGGCATTTCATATTTATATTTCTTTGTTATGAGAATAGCTTGCGTTTTATGTGCCGCGAAGCTCATTTTCCTAGAGAAGCCCCAATTAGATATTTTATTTAGCGCTGTGTTGATTTTATTTTCTATTATTGATGCTGTTTTCCCAGTCCCTATTAATATAATATCATCGGCATAAGCCTGGACGTGTACATTCCAGGTTTCAGCTTCTTGAAGCAGGGAATCCAGCAGGATGTTCCACATTAGTGGTCCGCAGATAGATCCTTGCGGCCCCACAGGAACTGGACCTGGTCGAGCCCCGACGGTTCGACAAAAAATGAGATTGACTTCATTATGACGACCAGACGACAACTGTTCAGTGATGTCTCCGTGATCGCGAGGGTGAAAACTGGCAGCGATCACCGAATGGTTAGAGGCACACTGAACCTAAACGTTAAGTTGGAGAGGTCTCGTCTAATGAAGTCAACGCTCCGTCCCCCTCGTGCTCTAATCCAAAGTCCCGAAACCTTTCAGCTCGAGTTACAAAACCGTTTTCAGTGCCTAGAAGACTGCAATGAAGTGGACGATATGAATGACAAGCTCGTGGAAACTGTTCATGCGGTCGGAGCTAAGTTCTGCAAGACCCGCCGCAGAAGAACACAAAAACTCTCCGATCACACTCTTAATCTCATGGCTGTTAGACGGGAGATGAAGCTACATTCTTCAACAGACTTGACAGCATACAGGCATCTGAACAGACAGATCTCCAAATGCATGCGGCGGGACTTACGCAACTTCAATACAGCTCGTATTGAAGAAGCGATCGAGCGGAACCAAGGCTCCAAAGTCTTTGCCAGAGATCTGTCTGCCAGAAAGAGCCAACTGTCAAAGCTGAAGACAGAGTGTGGCAGCATCGTTTCCGGGACACCTGAGATTTTGAGTGAGATTGAGAGGTTCTATGGGCAGTTGTACACGTCATCGTTGGAGCCACACGCAAGTGTGAGTAACGATCCAAGAGCGAGTCTCATCCGACACTATTCCAAAGATATCCCGGACGTCAGTCTGAGCGAGATTAGAATGGCTCTCCAGCACCTTAAAAACGGTAAGACCCCAGGCGAGGATGGAATTACAGCGGAGCTTCTGAAAGCGGGTGGAAAACCGGTACTTGAAGTCCTTCAGAAGCTCTTTAATTCCGTCCTCCATGGTGGCATTACACCGGAGGCGTGGAGCAGAAGTGCGGTGGTCTTGTTCTTCAAGAAAGGTGACAACGCTCTCTTGAAGAACTACAGACCGATTTCCCTTCTGAGCCGCGTCTACGTGCTGTTTTCGAGAGTCATTACGAATCGTCTCGCGCGCAGACTTGACGACTTCCAGCCTCCCGAACAAGCCGGTTTCCGAAAGGGCTTTAGCACCATAGACCACATACATACCCTTCGGCAAATTGTACAGAAGTCCGAAGAGTACAATTTGCCACTATGTCTGGCGTATGTGGACTATGAGAAAGCCTTTGATTCCGTCGAAATTTGGGCGGTGCTGCAGTCCCTTCAGCGGTGCCAAGTTGACTGTCGGTATATCGAAGTGTTGAAGTGCTTGTACAGTAGGGCTACGATGGCTATCCGAGTACAGAACCAGAGTACGAAACCTATTCAATTGCAGAGAGGTGTAAGACAGGGTGACGTCATATCCCCGAAACTCTTCACCGCTGCATTGGAAGACGTTTTCAAGCTTCTGGACTGGAAAGGATACGGTATCAACATCAATGGCGAGTACATCACTCACCTTCGATTTGCCGACGATATAGTCCTTATGGCAGAATCGCTGGAGGACCTAAGCACTATACTCAATGACCTCAATAGTGTTTCCCAACGGATAGGTCTTAAGATGAACATGGACAAAACAAAGATCATGTTTAATGTCCATGTCACACCTATGCCGGTAGTTGTTGGGAACACTAAGCTCGAAGTTGTTGACGAGTATGTTTACCTGGGACAAATAGTCCGACTAGGTAAGTCCAACTTCGACCGAGAGGTCAATCGACGGATTCAACTCGGCTGGGCAGCGTTCGGGAAGCTCCGACACATCTTCTCGTCAGACATACCTCAAAACCTTAAAACGAAATTGTACAACCAGTGCGTGTTGCCAGTGATGACTTACGGAACTGAGACGTGGTCCTTCACTGCTGGCCGTATGAGAAAGCTCAAGGTCGCTCAGCGAGCTATGGAGAGGGCTATGCTCGGAGTTTCTCTGCGTGATAAACTTAGGAATGAGGATATCCGCAGTAGAACCAGAGTAACCGACATAGCCCAACGGATTAGTAAGCTGAAGTGGCAGTGGGCCGGCCATATAGCTCGAAGAACCGACAACCGATGGGGAAGAAAGGTTCTCGAGTGGCGGCCTCGTACCGGTAGGCGAAGTGTAGGGCGTCCCCCCACGAGATGGAGTGACGACCTGGTAAGACATGCAGGAAGTCGATGGATGCAGGTGGCTCAGGACCGTGCTTTGTGGCATTCTTTGGGGGAGGCCTATGTTCAGCAGTGGACTTGTGAAAGGCTGTTATTATGATGATGATGAGATAGATCCTTGTATGCAACTTTTATCTTTGCTCCTTCCAATTTCTGTGTTGGCGTACCTAAGTGTAATAGATCTGTCAGAGAGATAACTATCTATAAGTTTTAAGGTTGCTTTATCGATTTCCTTCTTTTGTAATGCAACAATCACTCCAGGCCACCATGCGTTATCGAAAGCACCCTCTATATCGATCGAAACGATTACCGCCATCTCCTTGTTCTTTACGCATTTTTTGACAACCTCTAGTGCATCGTACAGTGCATCTTCTGTCCCTCGCTGAGGAACAAAGCCGTATTGTCAGTTACTTAGTTTACTGTGACGACCTGTCTGCCACGTTAGTCTGGTCACGAACAGTTTTTCAAGTACTTTCCCCAGTATTGGTAACAGGCCAATCGGACGATAGGATTTTGCTAGGGTGTAATCATCTCTATTAGGTTTTGGTATAATGCGGATTATTGCATTTTTCCAGATTTTCGGAAAGTAACCAAGTGTGAGGCATTTGTTAAATATTTTCAGGAGAATGGCGGGTTTGGCTGAGTAGGTCTTGTAGCAAATGTCGGCGGTAAATCCGTCCCCTCCTGGTGATTTTTTTGGACTCATATTCATAAATATGGTCTCTACCTCTGTGGCAGTATATGGTATAATAGGATCGTTTATTATACATTCTGACAGACGTTTTCTTATATTTTCCGCTTCTGTTCTTATTTTTATGTGGTTCAAATAATCTGTTGAAGTATCATCTGTTGGATAGAAAGTTTTAGCTAATAGTTCGGCGGATTGAGTAGGAGACAAGATATCTGTTGATGATGATGGTCTCAATAATGTATCATCCCTAGCCTTGGAGTTCTTGCGGATGACCCTGTATATACTTTGCCACATGTTCTCTCTATCTTGTCTCGTGCAAAATTGTTTCCAACTCTGGGTCATAGCGTCGGTTATGAGATTTTTATATTCGTCTTTAGCCTTCTTGGATTAGCGTGTTTTATCCTTTTCCTTTTCCTTATTACCTCCTTTTTCTTTGCGTCCAGCTCTAAGGTCCACCATGGTGTTTTTTTAAATATTTTCCTTGATAGTTTTGGAATAGCATTCTCACAAGAGGTATGTATGCATTCACTGTAAATGTTAGCGCATTGTTCTAGAAGTTGTGGAGTGTCTATAGAGTCTATAAATTCTTCGGAAATTTTTGAAGATTTAAGTTCCTCTCTTAATTTCACTGTAAAGATTTCCCAGTTTACCTTTTTCGTATTATACTTTGTTGTGTTTCGTCTGTTACTTTCAAAGTGTTAAGCTCAAAAGTTATTGCTCTATGGTCAGACAGGGTGACAAGGTCTGGGTCCACTTTCCAGCTTTTTATTTTCTTTAATAAGCTTGATGTACATGCGGTAACATCAATGATACTGGTATATTGTCTATTGCCTCTGCATGCATGAAAAGTTGGTATATGTCCCTCATTTAAGATGTGTAAATCCAGTTGTGCTAGGGTTTCAGCCACGGCTGTTCCCCGACTGTCCTCCACATTGCAGCCCCACCAGGGACTCTTGGCGTTAAGGTCTCCTCCCAGTATGACGTATTCGGTGTTCAGAATGTTGATGAAACTGGTGATTTTGCGTAGATCATCTTCAATTTCAGCGTTTCCTTCAAGATATGCATTGACTATAGTTACACTTAATTTATTTATACTAATTTTACATGCTACTATATTTTCTGTTACTGTCTTTTGATTTATGCTATACTGTATATTTGGATTGACAACAATAGAACAGATATTGCCTTTCTTTTTGGGTATTACCTGTTTGTCTGAGGAACTAGCTAACGATCTCTTTGATTTGTCAGACATGATGCTTCGTGCCAGGGAAAGATAATAAGTCTCTTTCTTTATTGATAATAGAGTCGACTCTATTTTTTTTTTACTATTGGTCTTATGTTATTCTGCTGGAGGATATTTTGGGAATATAAGCAGTGAAAACCGCGTTTCGATACGATGAGCCGTTCAGGAGTTATGATTGTTCAAAGTTTTCCAAGATGGCGGACAAAGATGGCCATAAATATTAAAAACTCTGATAACGTTAGATCTGTATCTCTTAAAATAGTCGAGTTTGGGCTCAATCGCTTCGGCTTACAACCGTATATCCGTTGGTGGCCTTGAAATAAGACGTAATTTGCAAGGTTGAGAATCAGCAGATAGATTCTCCAAGGGACCCTTATGCGTATGTTGAAAACCCCAACTTTCTACTGTACGCCGTTCCGGAGATATGAAATTTTAAAACTTTTCAATATGGCCGACAAAATGGAGGAAAATTATTAAAATTGGATTATTCAGCCACAAAACTACGTAAATGGGTCGTGTTTGGGCTCTATGGATAGGTTTTAATAAGAACTAACGTAAAGTAATATCTTCAGGCCTGAAAAACTGTTCAGGAACGAGTTATCCAGAAAAAACAGTAAAATACGTGTAGCTTTTAAACTAGAAAAGATATATTCGATCTAAAAACGGGAAAATGATAAGTAATTTGTACTCTAACTTTCCACGTAATTACTTTTAACTGTAAGTATTTGGAAGGGGGAGCACGTGGAGGAGTATTTTCACGAAAAAGTCAATTTGCCGGAAATTGTCAAGCGAAAAAATCTGAAATTTTATCAATGGCTTACAAGGTAAATAACCTATTAAAAAACGTTAGTTTCTAGTCTAGCGCATA